ATTCCTATAGTGCTGCTAAATGTGGAGGCTTCGTTTTAGCTTATACAACCCCTACAGCTATTGACATAATGCAATGGGCCTGGATAGCTCAGTTGGTTAAAAGCATGGCACTGATAATGCCGAGGTTGCAGGTATGGGACAGCTGCCTATTCCAGCATTGCAGGGGGTTGGACTAGACGATTCTCAGGGTCCCTTCCAACACTGCAGTTCTGTGACATCAATGAATTTGTTGTTGTTGTTTAGTCGTGTCCGACTTCATGACCCCATGGACCAGAGCACGCCAGGCACTCCTGTCTTCCACTGCCTCCCGCAGTTTGGTCAAACTCATGCTGGTAGCTTCGAGAACACTGTCCAACCATCTCGTCCTCTGTCGTCCCCTTCTCCTTGTGCCCTCCATCTTTCCCAACATCAGGGTCTTTTCCAGGGAGTCTTCTCTTCTCATGAGGTGGCCAAAGTATTGGAGTCTCAGCTTCATGATCTGTCCTTCCAGTGAGCACTCAGGGCTGATTTCCTTCAGAATGGATGCGTTTGATCTCTTGCAGTCCATGGGACTCTCAAGAGTCTCCTCCAGCACCATAATTCAAAAGCATCAATTCTTCAGCGATCAGCCTTCTTGATGGTCCAGCTCTCACTTCCATACATCACTACTGGGAAAACCATAGCTTTAACTATATGAAATGAATATAGTATAGTGCAACTGACTTTCGGGGTTGGTGTGTTGTGCGACAAGTACACAGAGTGCAATGATATTGAGTGTTTGGAGGGGAGGGAGGCTCAGTTATTTTCATTGTACACAGGTTGTACATTGACAATAAAGGTATTATTAAAATATGTCTAATCTTTCTAAAAGCTATTTGAAGCATTGTCTCACGTTGCAGCAATGTATTGCATAACAGTGTATTACATGCCCTTTTATGCAACTTGAGCCAACAGTCTGTCAATTTCGTTGGACAATCCTGTGAGAGAGAGGGAGGGAGGGAGGGAGGGGAGAATCATTTCACTTGCTACTTTTGAGGTCAGAAGATTAAATGCCTTGAGATAGATCAACTTCCAAGCTTCCCTGTGGAGGAGAAGTAGTTGAAGCAGAGAACCATAGCCCAGTTTCCGCATCATCCACCACTGAGGCACACAGAGTAGCTGGCTGGCGTAGCTGACAGAAGTCCATGATTATAGGAACTCTGGAGCCTGAGCTATTGCGTGTGAGTAAAATTCTCTGGGTCGGTTCCTCAGAACGGCTCCCTTGCCTGCCTTTGTTTATAATTTCAAAAGAGGTTTGGCAGAGCAATAATTTTTATTCCCCCCCCCCGTTTTTATTTTATTTTGGATGACATTTCATTGTGGTGTGGTGTGGGTATCTTTCCAAGAGCTAATTCCGCGCACCCCCCTCTCAATAACGAATAACAACAACAAAGAAACAAAGGAGCCCCACGAAGCGGGTGATCAGTGAAGATGTCAATCCCATTCCTGAGCCTGCTGGAATAAAGAGGCCCTTTGGGAATGTAAGAGCTTCATCAGGACCAATTAGCAGGACATGCTGCTGGTTGTGTCTGAGCATTAACTACTGGGCAGGGTTGGGGTGGGGGGGTTTCGGAGTGGCTTAACGCTAGCACGGAACAAGGCACCGACCTAATTACTCCTCCGCTAGAGCAGAGGAGGCCTTGTGAATGTCTGCTTGGCAAGACTTTCTCATTAAGGACCAAAATCTCCAAACAGACGCAAGGACTCCTGGTAGGGGGGAAAACATTAACACGATAGGTAACCTGTGGCCGAGAGAGTTCCTTTGTTGCTGTGGGAAATGCAGTGATGCTAGCCACACCAGAGGGTTGCTTGGGTACTTTCCAGATATGTGATGACGTGAAACCAGCTATTATTTTGCTTCCAAAGTCAACCTTCCTCCCTTTCGTTTGTAAGTTACTGCGGCTGGGAGGGAGGCACAGAGGGCACCCTTCCTTTGTTGGGACATAATTAAACCAATGCCCTTGGCAGCAAAGCGGTTTTGGTGCTTGAAAGACCAAATGATAACAACGCCCTACAGAACTAGGTCCTTCTATCTCCCCCTTCCTGCCCTCCCCTCCCCAGGTTTCAAGGATCTATTCATTTTAAGAATAGCATGAAGAGTGGAGGATTCAAAATTAAGACACTATTGCTTTCCTTTTTACTCTTTGGATAAAGCAAACATCGCGCCCCCCCCCAGCCCCTGTTCACATTACAGCTGCAGGAGAAGCTTGTTTCCCCCCCCTGCATTGGTGCAACTGACAAAAAGCGCATCATGTATGGGGCAGCAAATGTACACATATAATGGGCTGCAATTGCTTGATGTTAGTGGGACTTACTTCTGAACAAACATGCGTAAGACTGGGCTGTTAGGCAAATATCCTCTTCTAGCCATTCATTGAATCCATCCATCCATCCATTCTCTTTTATATCTATATATGTATATTCCTATAGATATATCTATATCTATATATGTATATTCTGGGACGCGGGTGGCACTGTGGGTAAAACCTCAGTGCCTAGGGCTTGCCGATCGCATGGTCAGTGGTTCAAATCTCCGCGGCGGGGCGAGCTCCCGTCTTTCGGTCCCAGCTCCTGCCCACCTAGCAGTTCGAAAGCACCCCTAAGTGCAAGTAGATAAATAGGTACCGCTTTATAGCGGGAAGGTAAATGGCGTTTCCGTGTGCTGCGCTGGTGCTGGCTCGCCAGAGCAGCTTCGTCACACTGGCCACATGACCTGCAAGTGTCTCCGGACAGCGCTGGCCCCCGGCCTCTTAAGTGAGATAGGCGCACAACCCTAGAGTCGGACATGACTGGCCAGTACGGGCAGGGGTACCTTTACCTTTACCTATGTATATTCCAGTGATTTGATGGGATGTATGTATATCTTCACACTTCAGAAATTCTCTTTGAAATTCCATATTTTACTTTGTCACAATTGGTTGACTAAATTGCAAGGCTTCGCTTCATGAATCTTGAGGAGCTTGTACAGTAATCATGCCATCAAAGGGGGATTTCATTCCAGGCTTTGTATGCAAACATTTATTGCCTTACAGCACAATCCTAACCAAGCTTCCCAGGGGCATCTGGTTGGCCACTGTAAAAATATGAGGTTGAAATTAGATGGGCCTTTCATCCAGCAAACCCAATCTTCTGAGTAGATATAAGAACATATCTACTCAGAAATAACTCCTACTAAATTCAGTGGTGCTTGCTCCCTTAGGATTGCCGCTTTAGTCATAACAGCTATTTCTGGGTCTTGAAATAAATCTCATGTAACAAAATAAAAGATTCCCATTGTTACTTAAACCCTTTAGACTACTGTATGTATTCCATGTGCTCGTAGAAATTGCAGTGCAATTTAAAGTTATGGGATCCATTTCCAGTGCAATTTAAAGTTATGGGATCCATTTCAGACTACTTAGCGTTTGTTTTAAAACAGTTTTCTAGCCCCATATGAACCAACCTGGACCATGTGATCATCATCTGAAGCCCTTCTTCATGTGCCTCCTCCATGAGAGGCTGGGGGGGGGCAGGTTAGCAACATGAGAATGGGCCTTTTCTGTGGTGGCTCCCCACTTATGAAATGCTCTCCCCAGGGAGGTTCGCATGGCACCTTCATTACAATAAGATACGATATCTTTAGGCGCCAGGCCTTTGGCTAATTAAACAACCTTTGGCCTTTTAAACTGGGGATGGGGTATTGCCTTTGTTTGTTACTGTTATGTATTTTTGTGGTTTTATATAATAATGGTAATAATAATAATAATAATAATAATAATAATAATAATAATAATAGAAGCTCAGAAACCATTGTGGGTGCACAGTTTGACTTCTAGTAGCTACAAATAGGCATTAATTATGGAGCATTGTTCTTTGCTCCTCTCCTACGGCTATTGTGAAAGGCAGCCTTCTCTAACTTTGGAAGTTGGAACATACTGTTGGACTACAGCCGCTATTGGCTCTCACCATTGGCCTTCCTTGCATTCTCTTTTCTTCCATTTCCCCAAAGTCTGTTGAAAGTAACCATATATTTGAAGATGTGGAGCCATTGAACATAAGCAAATATCTGTACAGTTCTTTCATTACTATCTATCTATCTATCTATCTATCTATCTATCTATCTATCTATCTATCTATCATCTATCATCTATCTATCTATCTATCATCTATCTATCTATCTATCTATCTATCATCTATCTATCATCTATCTATCTATATCTATCTATCATCTATCTATCTATCTATCTATCTATCTATCTATCTATCTATCTATCATCTATCTATATCTATCATATATCTATCATCATCATCTATCTATCATCTATCTATCTACCCAATGTAATAGTGTAAGCGTGTTATTACCTGGTAGTTTTTCTGCCACAGAACTGTTAAATTATCACTACAGCAATAGAGCAAGTATATATACAATAATTCAAAACCAAAAGAGGGGGGAAATAACGGGAGATTGGGGCACATTATATCAGGAGGACCATTCCACGCAATATAGGAATTGGGCCTTTAGTGTTGTGGAGCTGAACCTTTGGAATTGCCTCTCATCAAATATTAGTCAAGGGCTGTATCTGTTGTATTTCTTCTTCTTCTTCTTCTTCTTCTTCTTCTTCTTCTTCTTCTTCTTCTTCTTCTTCTTCTTCATTTCTTATACCCCACCCATCTGACTGGGTTCTCCCAGCCGCTCTGGGCAGCTTCCAACAAAAATACAGCATCAAACATTAAAAGCTTCCAGAAGCAGGGCTGCCTTTGGATGTCTACAAAAATCATTGCTTGTTGTTAGTTGCTCTGGATTCCTTGGGGAGGGCGGGAGATAAAATTCATCACCATCAATCATTTGGTGAAAGCAAACAGGGTTACCAGTAGCGTTTTATGTGACAAACATAATCTTATTGGAGCAGTTGGCTGCTATTGGTTGAGCAACAGGGAACACAAAAAGCAAATGGCAGCAAACAATAGTAACTTACTACCTCTTTCTTTGTTTTCAATACCAGGTGAAACTGGGCGGAGAAGCACCTAACTCCAACGTGATTCACATACCCAATGGTACCAGTGACAGCAACAGCAGCAGATGGAAAAGCTCTGGTGGGAAGTACGGCACCGAGTGCCACCTATTAGACTTTGCCAAATCGGAGCGCCCGCTGGTGGTCAACTTCGGCTCGGCCACCTGACCCCCCTTCACAAACCAGCTGTCGGCCTTTGGCAAGCTGGTGGAAGAGTTCTCCAGTGTGGCTGACTTCCTGTTGGTCTACATTGATGAGGCTCACCCATCAGACGGCTGGGCTGCTCCTGGTATCTCCTCCTCATTTGACGTCAAGAAACATAGGAACCAAGAAGACAGGTGTGCAGCTGCTCACCAGCTTTTGAAGCGTTTCTCCTTGCCGCCTCAGTGTCAGATAGTGGCAGACTGCATGGACAACAATGCAAACGTGGCCTACGGGGTCTCCTTTGAGCGTGTGTGTATTGTACAAAGACAAAAAATTGCCTACCTAGGGGGCAAGGGCCCCTTTTTCTACAACCTCCAAGAAGTTCGACTTTGGTTGGAGCAGAACTTCAGGAAAAGATGAAGTGTCTAGACTTACTAGAGGAAAATACGTTGCACATAGTGCCCCTTTAAAGCAATGCAAAAGGGAAAGAAATTGCACCCTGTTGTTGTTTTTTTTGGATAGGTTTTTTTTTTTTGGCCTGTTACTGAACAGCAGGCCAAATCATATGGCCAGATCAACACAACAGACCATGAAAGCGAAATGAAACCCGAATTCCCCATCATCTTCCCAAAAGGGAGCTGAGAGAAGCGTTCTGTTTGGGACAGAAAGACTGGTGAGATGAGATTCCTGTGCCATGAGCAGGTGATCTTTGTGTTGAGGTGTTTGGTGCAGAAGGAACCAAAAGCATCGCTTCTAGAACAGTTTGTTGAAAAGGCTATACCATCATTTGAAGGGGTATCTCTTTGCCCTCCCATGTTTGTCCTGCTGAATTCAAATGTAGCAAAATTAGAAATTTGAGGCTTGCAAGTGCCATGAAATAGAACTATTCCTTTTTGATAGATAGAGAGGGTACGGCTTTATAGATACTGCGAGTTCCAGCATCTGCTACAAACTGGCTAGTCAGTTGACCTCTTTTTTTGCTGAAAGTATTGGTGTTCACAACTAGAAATCTCTCTTTGCAGTATTGTACAGCTGCAATTCAGAAAGCTTTTAATCTAAACAGATGATTTGATGCTAGCTGGTTTCCATGCTTTTGAAACAAAGAGATTCAGCTTATACATTCATGCATAGCCCCTGCACTGTGGTCTTCAAATCTTAAGGAGACTTAAAGATTTCACAGCACCACCCAACATGAAAAACACATATGTCTATTTTAAGATCATAGGCTATATCTCAAAATCTAACTTCATGATAATGTTGCGGCAGAGCAGTCCACTTTGCGCCGGATCACTTCAGACAACCCAGTTCCACTGGATTCCCACCACTTAGAGGCAGCAATGGGATGAGGGGGAAGACTTGTTAGTTTGGATTCACCCCTGGGTTATTTTGCCTTGCCAAAGCCAACTTACATAATGAAAATGTAATGGTAGGAAATGTATTGTCCTACCATGCCTGAGCTTGAATGCATCCAAGATAGCTGACTCATGTCATCTTGTGTGAGAAAAATCTGCTAAGATAACTCACTTGGGTCTCAGAATCATCAAAGACAAAGTGTTCTTACCATGTCAGCATAGATCTTGTATTCTCATCAGATGAAGAATTTAGGGAACAGTCACATGGCAGCATTTTTTAATATGCAGTTCCACTTGACCACACCCAGTTGGGAGATCAGAAAATGTTGCCCTCTGGGATCCCACCGATGAAAATTCTGCAGCCCCTGCTGAGTCCGCACCAAACTATTCAGCTGTGTAGACCAGCACAGGCAAAAGAACACTATCAGGGACAGCATGTGCTGATACTGTGTGTCTGATCTCATCATAAGGAGCCACATAAATGTGCCCTTAGGATTGCTATGTGCTTAACATTATGCCTGCACTCAGATAATCTCTGAACAGGGAGAAGCTCATGTGCTCTGTGCTGTCAGATTACCTCCATGTAGGAAAAATATTGTGTGTGTCGTAATCTTTAGAAAGAGAGTGAGGGAAGAAAAGTAAGGCAGGAGTAAGGCAAGAAAGAACACACAGGCCAGGAACTTCATTGTGGGAGAGCCATTACAACATTTCAGACAGTGGGACCATTTGTGAATTCCTTCACCTGGGCTTTCTTGGACTGGGTGTACGTGTGTTCACAACCTCCTAGAAGCAACCTTGGTTTAACACTAGCTTTGGATGCATGGAACTGAAACAATTTATTAATCAGTGTACTTGCTTGCTTTTCTGAAGAGAAACAGCAGCCACGAGTGCAGCTGCAACAACAACAGTACAATTAGGATTAGAAGTTACTGTGTGTTTAGTAGGTGCTCTTTTAAAAAATAATTTATTGCAGTTAGAAGCCATGATGCAGATGCTGTATTTTTGTGTGCGGGTGAAAAGGAAAGGGGATAGGGAGGGAGATAAAACACCACTTTACCTCATTGGTATTGAAACTTTGTCCATTAGTTAAATGTGGTTGCGTCGATATTGCCCTCCCTTCTGTTCTAGAAGTTTGCAATTAGTTTTTAATCAGATTAGTTTGGTGAAGTTAGTTCAGCATGAAAGAGGTTTCACCCTCAGGGCTGATGAATTGCAGAGCTGCAGAGGGCCAGCTGCCTTTGCCCAGCTTCATTTTCTAAGGAGCTTCCTTGGAAAATTCATGTCAGCCGCATAGGTACTACTTTCCTTCCCCTTCCCCTCCACCACCATTTCAAGCATGATGAAGACTAGAAATACAATAGTTGGTATGAGTTTTTCAGGAGTGGTTTTGATAGCGACACTGAGCACAAGCCACCTTAAAAACACACACACACAAAAAAACAAACCAGGGGAAGTAAAGCAATTTACATCAGTGGTGGAAACCATTCACCAATACCCAGAAGTGTTCCTTCCCCACCTCTTCATTTATGTTGCCTCCTTATTTGTAGATTCAGCCTATCTTTATGTTTTGATGTTGGCCAGTCCAGCTCATGCACATGGCATTTTTAGAACGTGCTTCTCTCCACTGCAGGTATGCAAACTTGACAGTGTGGTATGAATGCTATTTCCCCCTCCCCTCCCCATGTCCTCTTTCATTCCTTTCCTCCCTTATACAGACGCACAGCACTTGGCCACACAAATACTGAGAGAGGGTTTTGGAGAAACTGACAGGATGAACGAAGTGTGGAAAGCTGGCAGTTGGAAGACGTAGGGAAGGGGTGTGCTCTTGGGGTCGAGGGTATTGCACAGATGTAAGGGCTTGAGGAGGGAAGTAAAGAGGGACAGTGTTAGGGAAGGTGGGCTTCTTTAGCTCGGGGTGAAGAAGATACTACTGCAAAGAAGGGGGGGATAGACACAGGAACAATGGTCAATATGGAAGGAATGCAGGTCTTCCTAGGCCTATTGGCAGGTACATGAGACAGTGGGATTGTCCATACTTCTGCATGTCTCATGCTCAAAATGGTGGTGTTCTGCTCAACGCATTCCTTTTTCCCGAGGAAAATCTGTCTTTAGTGCTAAATCGAGGCAAACATCAATCCAGAGAAAACCCAATTTGCCATTTGCTCTGATTGAGCACTAAAGAGCAGTTTTCCCCGGGGAAAGCAGCGGTACAAGAGGAAGTATGGATGATCCCCAATTTCTTAGCTGATTCTTTTTAAAAACAACAACAACAAATAACTAAATATTAGTACAAAGCCTGATTTTACCCTTGTGAAGAATAGAAGCAATTATCAGATTAACTGTGTGTTCTCAACTATATTTAATCAGAAGTAAGTCCTACTGATTTCAATTGACTTACTGTCCAGTGACTGCATGTGGGATTGCCACCTAATTCATTTATTCAGTATCCTGTTTCAAATAGTTGTCAGGTTTTATTATAGAGGCAAATTCAAAAATCCAATTTATGGCTTTTTCCAGAACAATTTAGCAGTGACTGTTAACGCTTATCTTTTAAAACCACAATGGAGACACAGTTAAGCACTTTAAGCACTGTGTTAAAGAGGTGCTGTGCTAAACAGGTTTGCCTGGAAGTGAAAACCAATAGGTTCAAAGGGCCTGAATCGCCCAAGCCTACACATGGTAATGCCAAAGTAAGATCAAATGTGTTCAATGGGCCTCACAAGTCAATGTGCATAGGCTTGCAGCTGCACCTCTGGATATAATCAATGACTTATCAATTCAAGAAGTTCATTTAGTGGGATATACAATGCCAAATAATTTATTTGATCACATTCAAATTTGCTGTCCTGTCATTTCACAGAATGTTCTTTTTCTCACAGTATTAAGGAAAATGAGGCATTTGGTTCCATTATTGTTTCCTTACACAACCACAACCTTGTTGCTTTATTTTATTTTTTTAGTCCCTCTATGTTTTTGATCATTTTTATCCTATTTTGTTTTTTTGGCAAATGCTCTATTTTCATGTTGGTGAACATAAAACACAAGTCACTATTCTGGATGGTGACAGAAGTTGGTTTGCATGTTTATGCTCTTTATATTCATTCTTCAGGCTTTTTTTAAAAAAAACATTTAAAAAAATTTGTCAAAAATTCTAATTCCTTTTCATTTATATGCCTTGGATAGAAAGACCAACCAAAGTGTTTTCTTGACAGTTGGAACATACCTTAAACTCAGAATAGGGATTGTGAGTGACTAAACTATAATACATTTACATATCTAAAGTCACTGCTATTTTGCATGGCTATTTTCTTCCTTTTGGTTTTCCATTATTCTGAGATTTCTTCTTATGTGTGAAATGCTTGTTATTCATAGATGTCTGTTCCTCACACAGTGTGAGGATTAGGAAACGGACATATGTCAAAGGAAAATCCACCAGCTTTCTTTCTTTCCAAACAACACAGATTTCTGACTCTGTTCATAAACTTAATTATGCCCATCAGCTCAACACAATAATCATGACAGAGTTACCTTCTTAAAAAAAACTCCACTAGAAAACAGCAGACCAAAAGCCCAGAGGAAAATACATTCCCCCACCCCCCAAAAAAAACAAGGAGAAGACTTTTGCGACTTCAGTCTTGTTAGGGATATGATTTTGCTATTGTTCTTAAAAGGGAAAAAAATAGATTTAAGGTTTTAGATTTTGTGAGCAGCCTCTCACCATTAATGATAAAAATATTGTAGATGTTAGGCCACCCACTGAAAATACCAGCACCGACTCGTCAATCAGCAGGACTTAAAAACATAAAATTTGACTATTAGGCTTCAGGTATAATAATGAAAATGTTTCTTAAAGGATATGTTCTGATATTAATTGCCCAAATACAATACAATACTGGCTTTTGTTGGAAGCAGGATACTGGTATATAGATGGATTTGTCACTTTCAATTCATGATGCTCCCAAGTTATAAGAACCCACCAAAAGGTCTATGTGCCACTCTGTACCACCAGTAGGATGTAATTCCTGAGTATGTATTATAAATCATGTTTGTCTCTGGTAGTAGTTTGCACAGCCATGTTCCAGATGGGGAATTAGGCAGAAGCAGTGAGTTGACATATTAAGGAATAAGATAACAGATGGAACCCTACCACAGAATACACTGAGCTGGATCAACGTAAACAAGCCAGTGTGGTTAACTAGTCCTAAAATTCGCAAAAGGAAGAACATAGTGTTAGATCTAACTTGCAGCATGGGAAGCCAATCCCTTTATGCCTCACATCTTGAGTTTATGTGTGGACTTGTGAAGAAAAAGGGCCTCACACAACCATCACATAATAAAAGCAGTCTCATGCTTCTCTTTTGCAGATGCAAATCACATGTCAGTGAATCAAACCCAGTGCTGTTTTTCAATATATACTCTAGGGTGATTGAGAAAGCTTAAGGTGAGCTCACTTAAATGAGGGGACTAAGGCTGAGTATTCGGTTGAGATCATAATTGGTATTCTTTGTGTGGCCTTTCGTGTTGCTGGATGTTGGATTTAGATCTTTACAACCTGCATTCAATAATATAACCAAAGCAATAAAAGATGTATCAGGCAGGGAATACTGGCCAGTTATATTCAACTCCACACCATGTCAGTTCAGGACTCATATTGACCAAACTTTGGCTGGACCTAAGACTTGGTTTGCAAGGATGGGAGAAGAGGGTGAAGCAGAGATGTTGGTGTCTCCATGAAGATCACTGACAAAAGAGTGTCTCACTCAGTTGGTGTTCGGATGCTTTTGCACTCGCATTTCTCTTTGCCTCTCTGTTTCTGCCTTCAGAAGTAGGGATGTATTTGATATCCATTTAATATGAGTCCTGAGTCAACATAGTGAGGAAATCACTTGTTTGTGTGTATGCATGTATCCTTGTTTAGATGTCACAAATACACTCTGTAGAAGAATCAGCAAAAACATGTTACAATATTGGTGCTGCGTGGACCATGTACTTTATAGAACTGTGTTTTCCACCTTGTATTTTAATAAAAGTGAAAGAAGAAGAAGAAAAAGACTCCTTTTTTTTCTGTCGTGGGTACATGACACAGGTTCTCATAGAACTTCCGGACCCTGAAGTGGTGAAAGGCCATTTTAAACTGCCTTTGGAGAGGCTTGATCACCAGTGATTTAGGAGAACTATGAAAGTAATACATTCAATCTGTGAATGAAAGAGTAAGCAAAATAATTGGATGAGGCACAGTCGACCCAAAGTTAAACTCCAGGATTCGGGGGGGGGGGACTTGGGAGTTTTGGTCTTCTTCAAGACAAAATGGAATGAATTAAATGGAGGAAGAGTGTCCTTGCCATTATATTGAAGTGGCAATGACTTCTAGCTTCTGCTGTCGCCATCATGTCTGGCTGTCCAGATGCTTGGGTGAGAAGATGCATCACCCACTAGCAACTAAAACATCTGGCCCTGGTTGTGAAATAGCATGAATCTGGGGTCACCATAGGTCTTTTGAGCAGGAACTGGAATGTGCAAAGCAGCCAGAGCATTTCAGCCCGGGGAGTTGACATTTTACGCTATTAAACTCTTGAGCAGGATTGGGGAACCTGCGACCCTCCAGATGTTGGGCTTCAATCCCCATCACCCCTGACTGTTGGCCATGCTGATTGCGGCTGAAGGAGTCCAGCAACATCTGGAGTTACCCATCTCTGCCTCAGAGCCCTTAAGGGAGTCACCACAACTGCCTTTAAATGAAATCTTATGTTTAACTTTATATTCATGTTTGCTTATTGTCAGCCAGTTTTCTGGGAAGTCGGTTACCAGGTACAAAGCTGGGCTATAAATGCTTAAAATAGATAAATATAGCCTATTGCAACATTGTACAAGCAAAATGACTTTTGAACCTGATTCCACAAGAGTGGAATATTTGAGAGCTTTTGCATTCAGGTCCTGTTTGCGGGTTTCCCACAGACATCTATCTGGCTGGCCACTGAGAAAACAGGATGCTAGACTAGCATACCTCCCAACACTTCTCCGATGAAAATAGGGATGTCCTATTAAATAATAATAATACTCCACCCGTCTGACTCTGGGCGGCTTCCAACATATATAAAAACATAATAAAACAATAAACATTATACAGGGCTGCTTTCAGGTGTCTTCTAAAGATTGTATAGTTACTTATCTCCTTGGCTCAGGGGTCACATAACTCCATATCCTCCAAGGGTTCTCCAATGAAAGTAGGGACTTTTCCCTTAGGAAAAGTGGGACATGCTGGGATCAAATCAGAAACTGGGATGACTTCTCTCAATCTGGGACTGTCGCTGGAAAATGGGGACACTTGGAGGGTCTGGTAACTAGATGGGGCGTTGGCCTGATCCAGCAGGGATTTACTTATGTTCTTAAGATTCACACAACATCAACAAAATGACAAGTGTGTGTTTTGAATGCTGAAGCTCCTATGTTTAATCCTCCACATCTCCAGGTAGGGCTCAGAAAGTCTGCAACACTGGGACTCCACTGCCAATCAGTACAGACAATGGCCTGGTTCAATATAAGGCAGTTTCCTACTTCCCAGACATGAATGGCACCAGTCATTAAAACACTTCTATAAGAAATAAATTCATCATTCGTTAACAGCTGACCAATTAGTGATAGCATAGAAACGGAAATTTACCAAATCACCTACAGAAAAGGATTGGTATCTATCTCTATCTATCACCATAAATTAGGGCTCAAAATGGGAGGTGGAAATCTGATCATTTTACGAAAGACCAGTGGGCAATAATCACATATTTGGAAATGGGAGTATCTCAAATGAGCCAAATGAGTACAAAACTAACTGTTTGAATGAATTGCTTTCTGTTTCCACTGTATGCCGAGTGAACTAAAATAAATGTGAGCTATAAGGAGGAGAAATAGGCTAAATGTAATTGCAAGTGTACTTATTTTTTTAATTATTTGTAGGGAGGGAACGGGAGTCCTGTGTTGTGTGTTTTGTGTAATTGGTTACCAAAAAAATCAATAAAACAAAGTGTTCCACAGATAAATAAATGACAAAAGTACCAAATAAAGAATGGTGAGGTGGGGGAGAGAAATCTTGTCCATCTCTAATGGAAGCAAAATAGCAAATTTCAATACCCAGGTTTATGCAATGACAGGAAAACACACACACACGCATAGTCACTCTGTTAACAAAAAAGAGCAACATTCTTAAGACATCATTAACCTTTCCCCAAGTATAACCTTTCAACAAAAGCCCTAATTGCTGGCTAAAGACCTTGATCACAGACAAGTGATCAATTTTAGCTAAAGTCAGTATCTTGTCTATGGTTCACCGCATTAATTGACTCACTACATTTTGCCCGCCTGCCTGCCTTCCTCTAAATTGCCAGTCGCGTTAATGAACCCACTGGCATACATATGTTTTAAAGAGACTAATGTGGCATGAGACATTCTGGGAATGCCAACTGTTTGTGTCAAACTCTTGGTCCTCAAACACCAACTGGGGGTGTTTGTAATATAACATCTAGTTGGAATTAAAGAAGATTTTCCCCTCCCACCCTACCCCCACTCCTACGCACTGTAAGCATTTGTGCAATAACTTTAATGACCATAATGTAGTTTCTAGACCAATGGGTTAGACCCTGAAGCAGAACTAAAATGGGGAAAGGGGCCATCACAAAACAGCATTGTTCCTATCAACTGTATCCTCCTCTGTGTTTTGTTAGCACCTAGATATTTTCTTCAACGGGGAGCCATTCACAAGCGACTTTTTTTGTAAATTAGGGTCTAGCATGCAATGAGAAAGGAGGCTTTGTGCAAGATGAAGCATGGAAGAGGTGTAAACATTCTTTTCTTTGATCTAACCGGTAAGAATTTAAGGTAGTTCCCCTCTCCCCTTTTAGAATTTTGTATTTTAACAAAATAATTACTTTTTTAAAAAAAATCTAAAAGATAAATCATTGCTAACAATAAACATATTTTGCATAGTATTTACTATTACAGCAAAATTACACTATGTTTCTCCAGTTTTTAGCTTCCGCCTCTAGAAATAGGCACTGTACTGTAAAGAAATTGCCTCCGTTTGGCTTGAGCTCTGCCAACCCTCATTTGATACATGCATCTTTCCATTGCTAAATGGTCCATATAAAGCTGTTATTTTCTATGCCCCACATATGCCAAACCAACTTGCATCAGGTTTGCTGAAACATTATTTTTTTCTCCTCTCTTAAATCTACGATACCCAACACTTTTGAATATTGGGAGTGGGCATGCCACCAGAACAACTGTTCGGATGCTAGACCCTGCCACATACGAACTGTGAGCTGTGACTGTACAGAGAGAGGGAGAACTCTAATGAATTTTCCTATAGGCATATTAAAGTGAGGGACATAGCCAAGTATTACAAGCTATAACAGCCTACCCAAACCTGGTACCCTACAGATGCTTTGGATAACAGTTCCCAGCCAGCATGGTCAATGGGTAAGGATGAGGGAGCCTGTTGACTAACAACATCTGGAGGGCATCAGGTTTGGATTTGTTTTTGCTCATAAGCAGAAGTATATTTCATTGCAGTTTGGCTAAGAGGAGCCCACCCCTGGAAGCATCTAGGCCAGAAGT